AATGATAAGTAGATAGATATAAATGACTAAGAAGCTACTTTGGAAGCTTCGTGGATATATTTGGAGTCTAACAGCTCCAAAGGATGAACTTAACTGTAGGGAATGGTGATCTTAACTGTTAGTGTCTTGGACTTTCTCCTTGAGTTTGACTAGGCCCCCAGAGGCAAGGGAGAGAAAGGGCTGGGATTTAATAGTGACCAGTCGTTCTGGAGTTATGGGGTTAAGACCCATTGTCTGTAGTACTTCTCCACTGTTCTCTGTGGGCCGGACTTTTCCTCTACAGGGATTGAAAGGATCCATTTCTTCCTTAAGAGCCTCCAACCGCCCTTTCCTTACTTTCAGCCCTTCCCTTCATGCCACCTGTTACAGTGTTGATCCTCAGCACCTGGGTTCTGTGGTACAGATCAGGCTTTCTCTTCCTCCATGAATTGGCCATCTGTGGTTTTCTTAGTTTGTTACTATTAATCCATCTGCTCTTCAGCCTAGAAAACTCTGTTGCCTCCTTTCCTAGTTTCCACATTTATATGATTATACATATAAAAGTGAAATCAATTTCATGAAATATAATTTGGAATTCAGAAGGGAACATGCTCAGTTTATCATTAGGCAGCCCTCCAGCACTGAAGACTTAAAAGTGAAATGTGTAGTCAAAAGTGAACTTTAAGAAAGCTTTTCTCCTTTCTTCTTGTCTTGTTACAATTATATTTTTTTATTTGCCCATCTAAGTTCCTTTACAAATACACCACACTTTAAAAAATTTTTCTTTTAGTTTTTAACAGTTGGATACAGTCATATAATATATTTGGGTCATGCTCATGACCCCTTCTTTCCAAGGTCCTTCCACTCTGATGTCCTTCTGTTCCTTCTGTTGTGACCACTGAGTTTAATTACGGCTGCTTACGTGCGCATGAGGGGGGCGTTACTCAAGTGTGGACTTGCAAGTGGTTGTACTAGCAAAGAAAATGGCTGTCCTCCCAGCAACCATTAGGTCCCCCCCCCCCCATTCTCTCCATGATAGAACGTTCTAGGCTCCGTCCATACTTACATCTCCTATGCAGGTAAGGAGACCGTTTTGAGTTAGTGTAACAGCAATGTGTTGTCCAGAGCGAAGGGTTTCACAGCACTCCTTCCCTCCTGACTCTTACGGTTGTTCCACTTCCTCTTGTACTGAGTTCCCTGAGCCTTCGAGAGAGGCGTGTGTCATAGATTTTAACAGAACTTCCTGTTAATTCTGATTCCGTATAAATTTTTAATACCAGGGCGGGAGAAATGGCTCAGAAGTTAAGAGCACTGACTGTTCTTCCAGAGGTCCTGAGTTCAATTCCCAGCAACCACATGGTGGCCCAAAGCCATCTATAATGAGATCTGGTGCCCTCTTTCTTCTGGCATGCAAGCATACATGGAAGGAATGTTGTATACATAATAAATAAATAAATCTTTAAAAAAAATTTTAATACCAGCTTTTAAATGCTAGGAAAACATTGTAAAGCTAAGGCAAGATAAGATGATTATGATTTTGTCAATGAATAGGAGGGGCAAGAAAACAATCAGTGTAAATAAGAAAGATAATCAACATAAAATAATACATCTTATTTTCCTTTTAGAATTTAAAGTTTAAAGAAACCTGTGGTTTTGATGATGAGAATGTGCAGTGCATCACTGTGTCCCTAGGCTGGCCTCACACTAGAGCAGTCCGGCCTCACCCTCCTCAGTCTCAGGGTTACAGACATTCACCACCCAGATGAGAATGTAAAATTTTAATAAATCCAAGTAAAAAGTAATATAAGACTTATTAAACAAATTCTATAATACATTCTATTATGTAGTCATATTTTTAGTAAATATGCAGAGATATTTGTAATAGATTTTAAAACTGAAAAATAGGTTCCATGATAGAGTGTTGTAAAAACTGAATGCGTCTGTGTGCCTTGAGAACCACCTCTCAAGCGTATTTCACTTGGGACCAGGCCACATGTTCCCAAGGTAGTTGTGAATGTGGCCCAACACATTTGTACATGATAATATCAAAGGTCGGACACCTGTGATAGGAGAGTGCCTCACAGGCATAGCAGGCACAAATAACAGCAAATAAAATAAAAACATGGCAGATATGCTATGGCAGTGCTGGTAGTAGGAATACATGGGAGTTTTAGCTAGGCCTTGTAGTAACTGCTGTTTGGGAGTCTGAGGCAGGTGAACCCCAAGTTCAAGGTCAGCGGATAATCAATTGAAACCCTGTGGTAAAAGTGACAAAAGGGGAGCTGGAGATAAACCCCACGTTAGAGCTAGAGGACTTGTCTGTTTCCCGCCCACATTCACAAGAAAGCAGTCCGGCTGTTTGGTACTCTATGTTGGACTACATGTTTGTGGAAAAACTTAGGAATAACTAGGGTAGAAGTCACTGAGCTAGCTTGTTAGCTTCGCCTTTAAAGGATGCATGGAAGAAGACAACTAGGGAGCTAAGATGAGACAACTCAAGAGTAACCTGAGGGACCGTATCCTCTTAGTTCACTCTTCATTCCGATGTTAGGAATAGACTACCTGTGTTACTCTGCATACAGAGTACTCGGCACATTTACAGAGCCAGGTAAAATTACACATAACTGCAAGTGACCAGAGAGAATAGAACTAAAAACAAAAATTTTGTAGCCATCTAAGAAAAGAAAACTTCTAGTTTTAATTTTTGTGCTAAAGATAACTTGTCTTCAAAGGATCTTTTTCCTGGCTTGATGGAAGCATCCCTTCCTGCTGGGTTTCTTTGCAAATGTTCAGTACTGCACCTTCCACCACAGCCTTAGCTCTCCCTGACCTGTTGGCCACTGCTAGCATCTTTAGTTCCCATCTTGCACTGGTCGTTCAGAAAGCCTTTCCTTACCACCTTCTGCCTCACCTACCCTAACTACTGTATAGGCTTTCTCATGGCCCCACCTCCCGTGCTCTCCCACTGAAGGGTCTCTGTTATTCAGCCTCTAGAGCGACTGATCTAAAATGGAAACCTTACCAGGCTATTCCTCCTATATTCTGAGAATAGAAAAGGTTGTTTTTTCTTTTTAAGACTGGGCCTCAAATGGTAGCTTAGGCTGACTTTGTTTAAACTTGCAGCATCCTTCTGCCTCTACCTCTTTAGTATTGGTATTATGAGCATATGCCACTCTGATTGATGAAAATGCAAGATTTTTATTTGTTTTGAGACAGCATCTCACTGTACCCGTGGCTGGTCTGGAATTTGCAGAGGTCTCCCTACATCTGTGTACTGGGTTTAAAGGCACATGCCACTGTGCCTAGCTTGAAAACTTTTAATGTGTGTAGGTTTTTTTATGATTAGACCACTGAAGCCTTTTGAGCTGCTGTATCTCTGCTTCTGACATTGAGCAGTGGTATGTGTCTTTCCCTGTATTACACACACACACACACCACACACATCCTAAAATACCACCTGTTAACCAGTTTAGTCATTTTTTTTTGAATGGGAAGAATTGAAAGTTTTAATTATAATTCATATACTTTCTTTTTAATGAAAAGACATGCTTATAATTAGTATAAACTAGAATATTATAATATATTTTAGAATGTATTGTTCTAAACTTAGTAAGTCCTATTTGCCCAAATTTGAAGAGTTAAGGTTGTAAAACATGGTTTATTTAACACCAGGGTATTCTGAAAATTTTGATGCTTAAGACCAGCATGTCTGTTGTTGACCTTGGGTGAATTAATCTCTTAATATGTTTTTGTCTTTAAGTGAAGATAATTCTTATTTACTTTGCCTTTAATTTTATAAAAAAGCAAAAGTAGATATCAAAGCAGGCCAGAAACTGTAAAGCAGCATATGAAGGAAGTACTCTGTAGCCTTGAGAGGATCACTAGGATCCCTGGGTAGATACCACATGAGATAGCTGACTGTTTTTGTTTCTCGATGGGCTGAAAAGTAGAGGGGAAGAGGGATTTGTATATGGTTTAAATTTTTTAAAGAGTATTAAATCATTGATTTCTTTCACATTGTTGAAATACTTACAATCAGGAAGGTCATACTTTTGCTAATTATAAGCTACTTCATATTGAACCCGAGAGGTTTCTGTGATGGTAATTGCTTTCCATGTTTCCATAGGTATCCATGCCAGCAGCTCACGCGACATCGTCTGCTCCCACTGTAACCTTAGTGCAGCTGCCCAATGGGCAGACAGTCCAAGTCCATGGAGTTATTCAGGCTGCCCAGCCATCAGTCATTCAGTCTCCACAAGTCCAGACAGTTCAGGTATGTGTATAAAAAGTTCTGCATATACTTTAACAACTTGTTTATAGCGTTTCTGTCTCCTTTTATTAGTTGTGAAAATAAAGACACATCTAGCGTAGATTTATTTTATTCATATAAAGGAATGTGTTGTTTCTGTATATTTCTGCTGTATGTGCAGGGACAGACCTAAGGAAAATTACTTTTTTTTAATCTACAGAAAAAAAGCATTTATTTAAATTATTTTAAATTAGTAAATCCATGTGATGAGTGGAAATGTTTGGAAAAGGCCTGGGGCTGATGTGCCTCAATTAAGGGAAGTTAACCTGCAGTGAGCCTGAGTTTGTATGGGGAAAAGAATGAGATAGGAAGATAGGATTTGTACTTAGAGATCATGTCAGACATAATATTGGCTGTGTAAAAGGTAGACTTTATAACTTTGAAATAATAGTATGTTCAGGAGGTCCATCATAAGACTTTAATTGTATCACATGTACTGTCTGATTGTTCCTTTGGGGTAAAAGGGAATAAAGGCACTCTTTCTGAAGGTGACTACTTAGGCCTAGGGACCCAAGAGCAGTGGCAGTGTATTTCTTTGCCAATTCAGCCGATTGAAGAAAAAAAAAAAGACTGAACTTTCATGCAAGTAGGCCATAACCCCAGCCTCCCGTTTCATATTTTTTACTTCACAGTCTTCCTGTAAGGACTTAAAAAGACTTTTCTCCGGAACTCAGGTGAGTCCTAGGTCCTAGATTTGAAGAAAACTATTTTTAGAAAGGAAGGTGAGAAATTATTTATGTCTTTGTCCTTCTCTGTGAACGTGGATTTCAGGGTTACGTCAGACTCTCAGCCTGAGTGTTGTACCTACTCATTACTTGGTTATTGCTTAACCCTCTGTAACATTTCTCCCCCAACCCTCTTCCAGAACTGCGTAAACACTGACAAAGAGGAAGCTGTACCTTAGAGGGAAGTCCAATGGCTGAAATACTGTGAGCTTGCCAGAATTGTGCCTTTCTGGTGTTGTGACCTGGTGACCCCTAAGAACTAAACAAAGTGGATTCTTTTCACTCGAACTGCTTTCTCTCCCTTCTTCCCTCACACCCTTTCCTACTTTAAGGAAAATTTCCAGATTCAACAGGCTTCTCCTTTTCTTCCGCATTTACTATATGGTGTATCTTTGATTTCTCTTGCTCAGCCTTAATTGTTTTTGATGAGAGCTGTTGCATTTTCCATGTAGGGTAGCCAAAACTGACTGATAATTGCATGGGGGAGGAGTGCTTCCTCCTTTGTCCTAGAACAGCCATTCTGTTACTGTCATCCAAACCCATGTCAGGGTGTCAGCTTTATGCGGAGGTATTGAGATGCTGTTACCTCTTCTACTTTTTCTTTCCTTTGGTTTGCTTGACCACTGAAGGGGGGTAGAAAGCTGTTGTCGTGTGAAATCCTGAAGATACTGGGAATGGACTTTATTAACAAGTCGGTGACAGTATTATTCAAATAAAGGCCTGTTTCTAGAAACTACAATCATAAGTAGTCTTTTGACTTAGTTCATCCTCCATATTATCTCATTACTGATTCCATACCTGAATTCTTCTCTAGAGCAGAATGGAGAGAACATGGTCTGCTAGTCAAGAGTTTAGAGGCTGGACCTTCTTCACATAGTAATAATCAACTGACATTGAGCACATTGGCCCTTTCTTTCTTTTTCACTTAAGAAGGTTTTATTTTAATTAAGAAATAAAACTAGGCTACGAAATGTGTATTACAGTCCTTAAGAAAATGTGATATTTAATTGTTGCTTGTAGTCTTAATTTTAATCTTATTTTGGGGCAACATAACTTAAACCCAAGTAGTAAATGTCCTTAACTTTGTTAGAAAAATATATTTGTCTTTTCAAGAATACATTTTCATCACAGTGAGCTATATAATTTTAAAAACATTTAAAAGAGAAAAGTTGGACTCCTTGAAACCTGGATTATTTGGAGATGTATCTGTATATTTTTTGTTAAATACTCTAAACCAGGAGAATGTGTTAAACTTACAGTTATTTCAGCCAGTTAGCAATGTTAGTGTTAATAACTCAGTGATAGTGGTTTAGAAGAGGTTATCAAACAAAGAGTGAAAGTGTCCCTCAAACTTCCAGATGGTAGAATGTTAGTATTATAGAATAAAATTCCCAAAATATCCAGGGGATGTGTCTCTCAATGGAGAATAAGAATAGTGGTATGTCTGTTGATACATCTTAATATAGTACTATCAGAGATTGAGCTGTATTAGTATTCCATGTACAGCTTCACCGTGCTGCCCCAATACATTCTTCCATGTACAAATCACATCTCATTGTGTACAGGGTTGGCAGTGGCACTTACCATTTTGGGCCACATATCAATATAGTACTGTCTAAAAATGTACCAGAAAGGATTTATAGATTTTATTACTTTAAATTATTATATCCATTTCTTCAGCAAATGTTTATTGATCACATGCTGTGTGCAGTCACTGTTCTAGGTGCTATCAGAGACAGCAGTGAACAAACAATACCTCTGTTCTCATGAAGATCACATGTGAGTGGAGAGACACACTGAGAAAATAAAATGTGTCAGGTGAGGATCAGTGCTCAGAGGTTAATAAAACAGGGGAAAGGGCAGATCAAGATGCAAAGGGAAGGTTGCTGCAATTCATTTAAGGTGGTTGGGGAATACAGAGAGCAAATACCAGAAGACAGGAAAGGCAGCTAAGCCAGGCCAGTGATAAAAATAGTCCAAAGATGTGGAAATGAACATGTTTGAAATTTGAAAGAATAGCATGATAGTGCTGGCTCCCTAAGTAGAATAAGGAGGAGGAAGCAACTGGAGACTCGGTGTTGGTAGACACATTTTTTCATGCTTTGTGATATGACGGGGACAGCAGTGAAAACCTTATATAATATGGTGCTTCTGTGGCCCTTACACAGCATTGCTGTCATCTGACTTAAGGGTAGGAGGGGTACTTTTTTTTTTTTTTTTTCGGTTTTTCAAAACAGGGTTTTCTTTGTAGCTTTTGGTGCCTGTCCCGGAACTAGCTCTTGTAGACCAGGCTGGCCTCGAACTCCCAGAGATCCGCCTGCCTCTGCCTCTCGAGTGCGTGTACCACCACCGCCCGGCTAGCTTTTGTTTTGTTAACCCGAGACAAGTGTTCCAAAGTTTCTGATCTTGGTGGTGGCAAACGAGGGCTTTGAAGGGATATTTTACCCAGTAGATTTTAAAAAAACAAAACAAAAAATTATACTATCATTTCTTGGTGGTGGTGAGGAGGGTGTTAGCCACAAATGAAAGAGTAATTACTTTTTAGAAGAAACTTAAGCTGTGGAGAAATTTGTAGATGCTTTCTTAACCTTTTTCATGGTAAACATTGTAGGTTTGTTTTCTTTAAAAACTCCTATCTAAAGCCTTAGGCTTTTCTTAGTTTTTTTTTTTCAGAAGTTTCAGTCTCAGTGCTGCTGAACTTTCCTGTTAAATATGAAACTAGCTGGATATGGAGACCACACCTTTAACACTGGTGTCAGGGAGGCAGAGACGGGGATGGATGTCTGTGAGTTCAAGGCAGGCCTGGTCTCCAAGGCAAGGTCCAGGCCAGCAGAGCTATATATATAATGAGATCTTGTTTCAAAAAAAAGAAGAAAGCCATACCTTTTTGCTAGAGGACAATAACCAGTTTAGATACAGAGATCAAATACATTGGATAAATGACATTGACAGTTTACCTCGTTGATAGATGGAAATGAAAAAAAAATTGTTTTAAGCACAGCTAAAAGGTGCTTAGTTTTGCTAGTCTCTACATTTAGAATTCTCTTTTAAACTAGTAGGTATCCAATCACACTTCCAAAACCTTAAGCCTAGGTGGACAGGGTAAGTGCTGCTGCTGTATAGACAGACAGCCCTTGCAGGCCCTGCCTCAGTGCTGGGTGGGATTAAAGGCGTGCACCTCATCCCTGACCAGAACTGCTGTTGAAAGATGTTAGTGATCTTTCAGTGAAGCACATTTAAGGACATTGTTCTCTGTTAGTGAAAAACTTAATTCTACTTGAATAATTTAAATATTTATGCCTGTCCTAAAATCTTTTATAAGTAACATTTAAAATTTACAAGTAAATATATAAGCCCATGTGAAAATGTCTTAGTTGCCTGCGTACACAAGATGTGTGTGCCTGGTCCCTGTCGATGCCAAAAGAGGGACTGGAGTTTGCAAGTGGTTCTAAGCTGCCATGTGGTGCTGAGAATTGAACCTTGGTCCTGTGAAAGAGAAGCTGGTGCTCTTTTCTGAGCCATTTCTCCAAACCCCAGTTCTCTTGTTTGTCAGGGATATAAACAGAGCAAGTTTTAAGATCAATATTCTACGTTTTACTAAGCCTTTTTGAGTGAAATATTATCTAAACCAGGAATTTTAACCGTAGCTAATCCAAACTTTTAAGTTTGGAAAGGGTTGTATACTTTTAACATTTCTTTATTTCTAACCACTGTATAGTTCTTTTGAAATGTCAAATTATAAAACTAAATAACTGTTTGGGTTTTTAAAATGTCTGAACTGTTACAGATGGCCAAAGATAAAGACATGTTTAAGGAACTTGGGGAGTCAGACATTAAGGACATGTCAGGAGGTGTGAGGAGTTCTACTGGGGTGTGAAATCGTGGAGCCTGCTTTTGGATTTTAACTTTTATATGTTACGAATACTTATAAAATTGGATTTTGATATTTTTGAGTGTAAAAATTATAGACCCTATATGATTTTTTTAAGATTTTATTTTTCAAGAGCAGCTAGTTTCACAGCAAAATTGAGAGTTTTCCCATGTATTCCTGGCCACCACATACATAGCTTCTTCCATGTTAACAACCCACACACCAGATTGCTATATTTGTTAGAACTGCTACATCATAATCACCTAAGTGTAAAGATGGTACACAGGTTTCTCTCGGTGTTGGTACACTTTATAGCCATGTGGTTTTTCTCATTTTAGTTAATTCTTTCCATCTAAATTGGCAAATCTTTTAGATTGGAGAAGGGCAACAAAATCCACTGAGTTGGTATAGGAAACAAAACTATAACTAAAAAAGTCAGTATTTCATTTCAAACCAGTCTGATTAGTTTACTTATTTATATATTTTGTCTTGTTTTTTTGTTGAATTATATAGCCCAGGTTGGTACCTATTATATATGGCATGGATAACCTTGAACTAATTACTGACTGGTCCTCCTGTCTGCACCTCCTTAGTGCTAGGTTTGCACACGTAAGCCACCAGACCTGCTTTCATATGGTGCTGGGGACCAAACCTAGGCTCTTGTTCATCCTTAGCAAACATTACCAACTGAGCTACATTCCCAAGCCCAGTATAGTAACTAGCTCATAGAGCTTGTTTTAGTGAGTTTCAATGTCAATGAGGTCTTCTGTGTGCAGTGTGTGTCCTTAAGATCTTGGCAGTTGTTAAGAGCAAGGTATGGTGGTACATATAATAACCCCAGTACTTGGAAGCAGGGCTGGAAGAATTGTCTGTTTGGGGCCAGCCTGGGTGACCAGAAAATACTCATCTGCCTCCCCTTTCCTCCAGGGAAAAATAATAAGGGTGGGGTATATCATATGTAAGAGTCAGATAGAAAGAAAGCCAAAGGGGAACTAAGATTAGCAGAAATAAGTACCCTTGCCACAATACTGCCCATTGAATTTACTGGTTACTGATTTCTCATGTTCTTTTAGTGCTTTTCCTAGTTTATGATCTTTTTAATCTGTGAGAACATTGGTGTAGAGACAGTGAGCATACACATCATGTAGCGCTGTCAGAGGGGTGGGTCCTTAGCGTGGACTGAATGTGGAGCTCTCTTGGAATTTCTCTTTGTCTGAGTATAGTTTTCCTTATTGTTGTTGTTGACTATTTTGAGGTGGTGCTAACCCACACAGGCCCTCTTGTCTTCTTTAAGTCTACTTCTCTGTGTGACAGCATCATAAATACCTCATGGAAGAAAGCACACGAGGCCCCTGCAGTATAGACTAGAAAAAGCTGATATGAATGAACTTTGAGTCTAGAGTGATCTAGAGCACCACGAGGCTGTTGCTTCTGATAGCACTGACACCGGGACCACCAGGATTTTAGTTCTGGTCAAGTCTAAAGTGAAGTGCTGACTGTGAGCAGGGTCCACATTCCTTAGCTTTGTGGCCCCAGTGAGTTGCCCACCCTATTGTGTCTCAGTTCTTCCATCTTCTATGAGCATAAGACCAGGGCTCATCTGGGATCTGATGTTTACTGTGTGAAACAATGAACTATATGGCTGTGTTAGCATAAAATCTAAGTAAGTTCTTAGTAAATTCCAGTTTCTCTACTCCACATAGTCTTTATCCACTCATCCTCATTTTCCAGTCTAAGGTCTCTTAACAGAAATGCATAACCCATTCATTACCTTGAAGCTTTATCCAAAAATAATTGTAGAATGCCAACTTTGAAACATATTTATGTATAGTAGAGGATGTTTACTGGCTTGCAGGAAAACAACAGTCAGTGTCTTTGTTACGCTTGCTATTGCTGTGATGAAGTTCTATGGCCAAAGCAACTTGGAGGAAAAGGTTTATTTGGTTTATACTTTCTTAGAACTGATCATCGTCAAAGGAAGTCAAGACACTGAACTCAAGCAGGGTAGGAACCTGGAGGCAAGAGCTGATGCAGAAGTCATGGAGGGGTGCTGCTTACTGACTTGTTCCCCATGACTTGCTCAGCCTAGGATTGCCCCACCCACTGTGGGCTGAACCCTCTTGCATCAATCACTAATTAAGAAAATGCCCCTACGGACTTTTCTACAGCCAGATCTTACGGAAGCATTTCCTCAGTTGAGGTTCCTTCCTCTCTGATGACTCTAACTTGTGTCATGCTGACATAAAACTAGCCAGGACAAACAGTCTACAGCACGGTAAAGAATCACTGACTTAATTGTACAACTGTAAATATGTGTTTGCAGAACAATTATAGGAAAATATATTGTTAGAGACTTAGGGCTATTTGTTCTTGTCCTTATGTTGGAAACCTTATTTTGGTTGGCAGTTCTGTTCTAACAACTGCAAGAAATAATTGCTGTTTGTAATATATTCAGGATTGGTTGCTTGGGAGAAATTAAAGACATTTTCAGGACAAATGTTCTTGTTTCCATGACATCATTTTAGTCTGTAGGAGACGAGTTGTCTCCATTAAAAACTGAAGCGTGTATAAGAGTTATATTTGTATTGGACTTAAATATTTTCTAGGAACTAAATTTGATAATCAAGATAAAGTTATTCTTTGTTTTCAGATTTCAACTATTGCAGAAAGTGAAGATTCACAGGAGTCCGTGGATAGTGTAACTGATTCCCAAAAACGAAGGGAAATTCTTTCAAGGAGGCCTTCCTACAGGTATGTGACTTACTAGAGTCAGGAACATGCAGAAAGGCTTAGTACTTGGCAGATAGTAGGTGTCATACACTGAGACAGCTGCTCAAGCAAGTACCTTGTAGATGATTTCTCATGAGTTACTTCTCAAATACGTTGACATTTACTATACAAAATAAGACTATGCCTTACTCTAAACCAGTGGTTCTCAATCTGTGGGTCACGATTCCCAAAGACCATCGGAAAACACAGATATTTACATTACAATTCATAGCAGTAGCAAAATTATAGTTATGAAGTAACAACAAAAGATTTTATGGTTGTGGTCATCACAGTAGTAGGAACTATCTTACTATCTTAAAAGGTCACAGCATTTGGAAGGTTGAGAACCACTGCTCTCAACAGTTCTGGCAAAACAAAACATTTTACCCCTCATTCTGTTTTTGTAGTTGTGCTGACTGCTGCTTTTCCTTTTAAAAGTTTGGAATACATTTGAAGTATAGCATTGTTCAGAGGGATACACTAGTGATCTACTTAGTTATACATTTACAGATTTTTTATGTCATGATACTTAGCAAACACCTGTATTTAATAGTTTTCAGAGCAGTACTTTGCTCACATCCTCTGGTTTGGGTTCAGTCTTTCCTTGCCTCCTCAAAGAAGGTCCAAACAGTGTGTTTATCAGTCGACTTCATGTTAAGTATATTTAAAAACAACGTGCCTGTTAATCTCTTAAGCTGACTTTAGAATTCAGTAAACTTCAGAATTTTACAGTTACCTTCCCTGTTATTTTAAATTATGCCTATTTAAGCTTCTGTTGTTTTTTGGGTTTTTTTGTTTTTGTTTTTGTTTTTTTGAGACAGGGTTTCTCTGTAGCTTTGCTGCCTGTCCTGGAACTAGCTCTTGTAGACCAGGCTGGCCTTGAACTCACAGAGATCTGCTTGCCTCTGCGCCACCACCGTCAGGCTAAGCTCCTATTGTTTATCATTTATTTTAGATTTATTTTGTTTTATGTGTATGGTGTTTTGTTGGCCTACATCTATTCACCAGTTGTATGCCTGGTGCCGACAGAAGTCAGAAGAAGATGTTGGATACCCTAGAACCAGAGTTACACATGGGTGGGAGTTGCCTGTGGATGGTAGGAATCAAACCTGGGTCTTAACTCTGAGCCTTCTTTCTAGCCTCACTCCCTTTTTTTAAGGGAAGTTGATGTCTCCCCTTCCTCCCTATGCCTACTTACAGTTGTTACTATGCTCTTTTTCTGTCCACAAATTATGAGTTCTAAATATTATTAGTCAGTTGATTTGAAATCCTAAAAATTCTATGTTGTGGTGTAGCACAAATAAAAGACGGATAAAGGGGGTAAAGATCAGAGAAGCAGAGCAGTAAGCCACTAGAGAGATGCTCAGACTGAAGGGGCGATTCTGACTGCCTTGACTGCACTGTTCTCCACCAGACCTCAGACTCCACACTCCAGTGAGTCCCCGTCTCTCTCCCTTTATATTCCTCTCTCTGCCCAGCCGTGTTGCTCCTGTCTCCACCTCCCCAGTGCTGGGGTTAAAGTGTGTGATCCCAAACACTAGGATTAAAGGTGTGAGCCACCACTCCCTGGCCTCTAGTGGTTTAGCAATGCATTCTGATCTTCAGGCAAGCTTTATTTATTAAAATACAAATAAATTATCACTGCATCATGGGGTATATATTTATTATAGGCAATATGTCTAATCTGTTATTTATTTTTATTTTGTGTATATGACTGTTTGAATGTATTTCTGTGCACCATGTGCATGAAGTACCAGCAGGGACTGAAAAAAAAAAAAAAAAGATGTCAGATCCTCTCTGACTGGAGTTACAGTGTGAGTTGAAGCTAGTTTCTGCTGAGCCATCTTTCCAGCCCGTCTCTTTTGTTTTAAATATAGCAAGTGTTAGATTTTGAGACGTTAAAGTATATCTCACGTTAGTATATAATATCATTGATCCTGAAGCGAATCCCACAAAATACTAAGAAAGAAATCACATGACTTCTGTAAACCGTATGGAAATCATATATGCAAGTTGGCCAGATGGCTCCAGCAGATAAATGTGCTTTCTTGAGCCTAGTGACTTGTTCAAGGGTGGAAGGGAAGAGCCAACGCCACAACGTTGTCCTGTGGTGTCCACACACATGCCTCTGACCACAGTCACCCTCAAAACCCATGGAGACACCAGCTTTATATTGATCACAAAATTTTTCTTAAATTTTTTCTGGCCAAAATCCTAGCAAATGTTATTTAAATAAAATATGCTTTAATCAAATGAAAGCTTTGAGACAAAACAGAAAGACTGGGTTATAAAGTTTGTTGTCCTACCTTGTAATGATACTTTCACGCTGGGTAATAGTTATATGAAGTTTATGAATTCTTGAAATGTAGCCTTTATATCTAGATTATAGCAAACTGTTTAACAGATGCTTATAACATGCTTGCAAGTGTGGAGAAATGAAATTGATAATATAAAGTAGATTTTTATTGGAACAGCCTATCCTTATAAAGCAGTTGGCTTGTGTGCAGCAGGAAGGTGCTCCGTTTGCTCTCACTTGGCTTGAATTTTTACCATTAATTGATCTGAACAAACAGAAGCCACGTGTATTAAATTTTCCAAGGACAGAACCATAGGGCTAATAAGTGTGTGAAGAGAATGAGTATTTTGAAAGATCCTAGCAGGCAAAGAAAGCAGGTGGAAACAGATATGGTGATACTATAGTGATAGTTGTAAAGTCTCTTCAACCAGTATGGTCTAGAGCAACCAGAAATAGAATGTGAGCAATGTCTTAGTCTGCGTGTTTGGGCTCTCATACAGAAGGAGCTAGGTCAGATTGTGACACTAAATGACTAATTTTTACCCTTTGACCTTAAGCCTCAGTGAAGGGTATATCTTCATGTTACAGGTCTGTTTAATTATCTGGAATATACATATTTAGAGCCATGGAATGCAGGGTGTGTAACTGGGGAAACTGAGGCGGGAGAATTTTCACTTTGTCAACCTGAGATTAATAAATAAGACACTTTTTGTTTTGCTTTTTTCAAGACAGGGTTTCTCTGAATAACAACCCAGGTTATGACTTTAAACTCGCGGAGATCTACCTGCCTCCGCCTCACGAGTTCTTGGATTAAAGGCCTGTGCCACCTCGCCCAGCAAGATACTGTCTTAAATTCAGATTAAGTTGGATGATGGTGATGCATGCCTTTATCTCAGCACTCGGGAGGTAGAAGCTAGCGAATCTCTGTGAGTTCCAGAACAGCCTGGTCTACACAGAAAAGCCTGTCTCAGGGTGTGTTTGTGTGTGTGTGTAATAATAATAATAATAATAATAATAATAATAATAATAATAATAATAATAAATATATATATGGCTTGTGGAAGCTGGATAGAGATGGCTCAAGGTTAAGAGCACTGTCTACCCTTCCAAAGGATCTGGGTTCAATTTCTAGGACACATATAGGGACTCACAACCATTAACTCTAGTCATAGGGTCTGTAGTGCCCTCTTCTGGACTCTGCAGGTACCAGTCACGCAGACAAAACACCCAAAGGTATTTAAAACAAACAAAAACACCAAAGTAGTTTTACTTATTGCAGCCCCCCTCAACACACACATACACACACCTACTTCTTATATTTAAAATCCCTGCTTTGTTTGGAGTTTATTTATATAATCGTGTTTTTAAACTTTTGTCCTATATGTTAGCAGTTTTCTGATGTTTATAATTTATTCTTAGTGAATTTTATTCTTAATTAAAATAGCTCTTTATTTTTCTAGGAAAATTTTGAATGACTTATCTTCTGACGCACCAGGGGTGCCAAGGATTGAAGAAGAAAAGTCAGAAGAGGAGACTTCAGCCCCTGCCATCACCACTGTAACGGTGCCAACTCCAATTTACCAGACTAGCAGTGGGCAGTACAGTGAGTAATAAGTTTTTCTGTTATGAAAACTGTTCTGTCTAAAGAAATGATAAATGCCAAGGTTTTTGCCTCCATTGTTGTTTGCCCTATTGTCGGAAATCTGTAATGAAAAGGCTTTCGTTTCTAGTGTTAGAAGTACGTAAGTGTTTAAGTCAGTTACATTTCTTCAGTTTAGTACAGGTTCATGAAGCAGTCTGTAGTCTTTGAAGGACTAAATAGCTAGATTTAGCTCTCACAATGTTAAGATGTGTACTCGTCAGATAAAGGAACACTATGATGAAGACCAAAAATAGCTCCAGCAGTTTAACTGTTTATCTAATCCTGCTTTCTAAAAGTAACATTTACAAATCTTTGTGTTTAGGGTTTCAGGTGGGAGTTATTGTTGTTCTCATCTGAAAGGTGATGCAGTGACTATGAAAGTAGGAACATAACTGCTGAAACTGACATCATGTCTGTGCCAGGGTTGGGTTGCACAGCTTCAATCCCAGCACTCATGCAGGAGCAGGAACTCTCTCTGAGTTCAGGGCTAGTGACACTTACAGGACAGCCAAGACCACATAGAAAGATCATGTCTCAAAAAAAAAAAAAAAAAGAAAATAAATCACTGTGTGTATTAATGTTTTGCCTGTGCACTGTGGTTGTGCCTGGTGCCTACAGAGGTCAGAAGATGGAGTCAGAATCCCCTGGAATTTGAGTTATGGATGGTTGTGAATCACTATGTGGTGCTGGGAATTGATCAGAGTCCTTTGAAAGGACAATAAGTGCTCTTAGCTGGTCCAGCCCTGCTGTGCTTTTTTTTAACTTTGACAACCATTAATTTCCATTTCATATCTGCCCTGATTTAATTCTGTCATACCTCTTCCTCTTTTTTTTTTTTTTTGATCTTTTACCTAAATCCATTAGAAGGTACTTTTGAGTTGATAAAAAGCATTTGTGTAAATGTCACTTTCTTTTTTCTCCCTTTAGCCTTACCTTCCAATGTATCTCTTACATGATTCACACACAAATTACTAGCTTTTTAATGTCAGCATAATGTTGGCTTGCCTGCCGGCAATTTGTATACTAGCTGTATTAAAAAATAGATACCTAAAGCAGTATTTTTAGCTTTTCCAAAACTGAAACTTTTGATATTATTTATAAGAACTTTTTAAAATATTAATTATTTTTATTTATGTGTGTGTGTGCCTACATGAATTTATGTGCATCACATGTGTGCAGCTGCTCTGGGAACCCTCTGGGTCAGATCCTTTGGAGCTAGAGTGGCAGGTGGCTGTGAGCCGCCTAATTTGTTACTGGGAATCAAGCCCGGGTCCTCTACAAGAGGAGTAGAGTAAGCGCTCGCTCTTAGCCACTAAGTCATCTGTCTGGTATTTCTTATGAACTACTTTACTATCTGTGATAACTAAGCTAAATAAGCTTAGATGGATCTTTCCTTTTTAAATTCTTTATTGGCAGCTGTAAAGGATATCCCCCTCTTCTGTGTTTAGTTTTTTGTTTGTTTGTTTTTCGAGTCAGGGTTTCTGTCTGTGTTTAGTTTAAGATAATTTCATACCCAGATAATTTTAAGTATTCAAGATGGTTCCATAAGCATGAACATACTGTGGTATAACACATTCCTGCGAACAGTAGATTCACTGCTGCAGAGAGTCTCACTTGAACTAGAAAGGATGAGTTTCAGACAAACCATACAGAAACTGAAAAGAAGTAAAGTATACGATTAACTGCCGTCCCCTTAGATACTTTACTTTTCAAACCCCTCCAACAACTGAATGTTTCATATTAAAATTAAGTTAGTATTTAATTATTAATATTTAAATATACTAGTACTTTGAGTTTTTTCTTAAGCTTTATTCATTTTATCCACTGTCTATTTGTATATGCACGTGTGCCTTTGATGAAACTGATTTAGCATTACATTCTGCATTTTTCCCCTAAGAAGCATCATAATGAACACTCATATATATAGCAAACTATGTATTTTGTAACTTTATTTTTAAACTTAATATTTTATTATATATGTATGAGTGATCTACATGTATGTCAACACCACATGTATGTGGTGCTTATGGAGGCCAGAAGAGACTTTGGATCCCCTGGAGCCATTGTTACAGATGTTTGTTAGCCGCCTTATAGATGCTGGCTTGAACTCGGATCTTTTGGACAATTAGTCATCTAAAGCCCTGTATTTTTAACCTAGTTAACATGGTTATCAAAGATAAGGGTTAGAGGTTTATATAAACTATAAACTGTAAACTTCTCTTGTCCTTTCCCTGTAGGAAGGATTGTATATATCCCTTCTTTTTCATTTTGTTATATAAGTTGTCCTATACATGTAGAAAAATCTCAGCTAATAAAATTAATTGTGTTTAGATTAAGTTAAAATATAATCTTTCCTTAGTTTGTATTTCTTGGTAGTCATTAAGTTCACTTAGAGATAAGTTACAATTATCTTTCTATTCTTGTTTTAATGAATTTTGTTTTGCTGAAACTATCTTACTCTTTTAAAATAATCAGGTGAACAAGTAAATATTACACAGTAGAAAAACATGTTTAAATCTTATGAAGTATTTTCAAAGAAATGTTTATGTATGTGATCTTATTTAATGTTCATAACAACTACACAACTCTACAATCAGACGTAACAGAATCGCCAGGCAGTGGTAGCACACGCCTTTAATCCCAGTACTTGGGAGGCAGAGGCAGGCGGATCTCTGTGAGTTCAAGGCCAGCCTGGTCTACAAAAGCTAGTTCCAGGACAGGCTCCAAAGACTTAGAGAAACCCTGTCTCAAAAAGAAAGAAAGAAAGAAAGAAAGAAAAAAAAAAAAGAAAGAAAACAATTTACATTCATTTAGCTTTTTCTGTGTAGTGTTGTATAAAGGTGATTTAGGTTTTTTAAGAAGGAAATGTCTGTTAGGTATGTACTCATTAATTTCCAATTGCCAAATAGTGGCGGATGTGTTTATTCATCAGTCAGTGGAAGGCCTTATATGAGGACTCAGAGATGGAGTTAAAATGTATTGAGATACTTTATCTAAATGATGATCTTGAGCTTTAATTTGAAACTTCAGGAGACACTCGTATTACTATGGTCCAGGCTATTTCGTTTCTTCCGTTGATGAAATTTTTGGTGGGGATGATGGGCAGCATGTGCTAGCGACTGAGCCCAAGGCCTTAAACATTCATGGCCAGCAGCGTATTACTTGATTCTTTTTCTTTTCTTAAAAAAATTACTTATCTATTTATTAATTTAAAATTACTTATTTTGACATGGGATCCTACCACTTTTCTCCAGGTTGGTCTCAAAAGTCGTAGTCTCAAGTGAGTTTTCTGCCTGAGCCCCTTGAAAATATCATGCTATTCACATGGCTGTTTAAGTGCATTACTGACAGATTTTATAATTTGCTTTAAGAGTTAGAAAATATAATTCACTGACATGATTCTATTAATTATATTTTAACAAGCATTTATTGGGTGCGTCTTACATTAATTTCCTCCCTACAAGAAATGCATATGATTAGGGCAGCAGATATGAAATAGTAGCCGAGGCGGTGAAGGAGAGCCTCCAGTGTAAATGAGTTCACTGTTATCACCATGCATTATTTATTGTAGGCTAGCTCCTGAGTACACTTCTCTTGTGAAAACCGGATATGCTTTCCTGAGTACACATTCACTTGAATATACCGTGTCTTGCTTAGTGATGATTTCACATTATGCTTTGCCAATTGCATGGGTTTAGTGCGTTTTAAAGGTTATGTGGTGTTAATTAAACTTGTAACAATAAAATTCATTGGGTTTTAGTTGCCATTACCCAGGGAGGAGCAATACAGCTGGCTAACAATGGTACCGATGGGGTACAGGGCCTTCAGACATTAACCATGACCAATGCAGCTGCCACTCAGCCGGGTACCACTATTCTACAGTATGCACAGACCACTGATGGACAGCAGATTCTAGTGCCCAGCAACCAAGTTGTTGTTCAAGGTAATGGAATTAAGAATTTATATATGTGGTATATTCTTTTAAAAATTAATGTGTACATTCAGGAAAAGTAAGTATATTGCAAAGCACTATTAAAATAGTTTCTTCAGTATAGATTAGATATTAAAGATTTAGCTATGTATGCACTTAATACATAAATAAATTTCTCATGAAATTTTCTATTTTTTCCCTTGGACGAAAATGTCATGGCATAAAAACAACTATCTTTTAGCTTTAAGAGAGTATTACCTATCTCTAGTCCCTTGAGTAGTCAGGGATAGGAGAAATAGGATAAATTAAAAAAACTCAAGAAATCACAGCTAGGCTATATGGACTCAAGTAACACCCAACTACTATGCCCCCCTCTTTTAAACCCCTACCTCATATGTGCTAAGTCGATATTAAAGCGGTTTTAGTGCATTCTGTCCTGTTGTTTATATATGTATATATATGTATATATGTTTACACACGTGCACACATATGAAACTTAGATTGTTTTCCTAATGTCATCAATTTTGATTTCAGATAAAAAGATCCAAAGAACATAGGTCATTATGTAAATTTTCTGCTCTTTGGAGAACAATTGTTCTTAAGTCCTCAATGGTCTAGAGGATTTGGGTTGTTCCTCCTTTTACCTCCTTTATTTCAGGAGTCTGGAGAGTGTTAACTATTCTCCATTAACTCATTTGAACAGTTCATAGTATAGACCAGATTAAAAACTGATAGGCTGAAAAATAATATTTGCTTCTAAAAATATTTTTGTTAATAACAAATATTGCCTGTGTTAATGAGTTATATCCCTTTCCCATGGATAATAAGTTTTAAATGGTACCAAAATACCAAGAGAAAGTCTTTTATCTAACCAATCCATAATATATTTATACACTATATCCTGTTAATAGACCAGTGATATTTGAAAATATATTTTGCTTATTAATGGGAGTAAAACACCTTTTCACTTTACATGCAGGTACTCAAAAAATTGTAAAGCAGGATGTCAGTGAATTTGAATTCTCAACGTCAGTTTGAAGATGGTAACATGTTTAGTATATAAATCTTTGTCACTCAGATGATACAACTGATATTTTTAACTGATGGATGATTTTGTAAAGACCTTCAAAATCTCTCACATAGTATTAGGTTACTTGTTAGGACAGTATGTCATTAAACTGTTTTTAGAAGCAAATATTAGACAAATTGTGATTATATTTCTTTTCATATATTGTAGATTATATGGTTAGAAAATCCTTAATCTCAGCCCTTGGGAGGCAGAGGCAGGTGGATCTCTGAGTTCTAGGCCAGCTTGGTCTACATATTGAGTTCCAGACAGCCAGGACAACATAATGAGACCCTGTCCCAGAAAACCAAACAAACAAACAAAAAAATCCAGCTTGAGTTTATTTACTATCACTTATATTAAAGAATAATATGTTTACATATACTATGATTGGCACCCAGTAGCCCACTTTTTCATACTTTGAGTTTTGTTTGAATTAGAAATTTATAATAGTTGACCATATGCTTATTTTCTCTTCCATTTTGCTATTTATGAAAAATCATGGTCGTTTTTATGTCGTGGCAAGAGTCTGCTTGAAATTTTTTAATATGAATTTATCCAAATCAAAGGAAGACACTGAGGACTATATCTAGGAAGATCATCTATGCTGGGCCTCACTTTCCTTTTAGACTTAAGGTTGGTAAGCATGTTAATCACAGAATAGATCTCTATTCCAATTCAACGTAAATGTAAGACCCAGCAGAGACACTCAGACATCCTTACCTGTACCTGTACTAATAGTACAGTAAATGGCATCTTCTTTTTAGCCAGAATCATCTGTTCCGTTTCCCTTCTAATCCAAGTATCTTTATATTGATTGACACACAACTGAATCAGATTGTAGTTATCTGTAGCTCATACCTTGTTTGCTCTTTTTCGCAGCTGCCTCTGGCGATGTGCAGACGTACCAGATCCGCACAGCACCCACTAGCACCATCGCTCCTGGAGTTGTTATGGCGTCCTCTCCAGCACTCCCTACGCAGCCTGCCGAAGAAGCAGCGCGGAAGAGAGAGGTCCGGCTAATGAAGAACAGGTACCTATTCCCGATGCTTAAATGCTGTGGTCACATATGTCTCTAAATTTGAAAATATGTGTATTTAAAAATATGAATTAAATTACAAGTTAATGTGTTCAGTTTTAAAGTATTTGTTAAGAAATGATCGACCTTTTCTAAAATAAACCATTACATTTAAGAAGTCTCAAAGACATTGTTATAAAATCTAAGGCAGAAGGACTTACAAAGAAAACAATTCTAAGTAGACACAGTAATCAGAATTACAAAGCACTTCAGATCATGTCTGTAATCCCCTTAAAGAAAAAGATGGAGAGGCTGTGAGGCCATGATGAGGAGGAAGCAGTGCTGCAGCTTCTCTCCTCCCTCCCTTCCTTGTACTGGGGTGACCTAAGGCCCGTTTCCTGTTAGACAAGCACTCTACCACTCATTGGGACCCTGACCCCCAGCCCTCTTTTACAAAACAGGGTCTTTTACCTAGTCTGTTACCCAGACTGACCTGAATTCACTCTGTAGCCTCGGGAGGCTGCTTTCAGTCTTCTTGTCTCGGGCTCCTGAGCAGCTGAGACAAGTCCACTAGCATTACAGCTTCTCACCTGCTTAGAGCATTGCCCGTGATGAGCACTTGTTCCTTTACCGTTATAGACACAGTTTCACTTCTTCTCCATTTATTTTCTTTTCAGATTTGATTTTTTCTATGTTAGCGTTCTGAAAGTTACTGTGACAGAATACCTAAGAAAGCCATTTAAAGAAGAAAAGCTTTCTTTTGACTCGGTTTCAGCAGTCTGTGGTCACCTGGCACCATTGTTTTTAGGCTGTGGTGAGGCAGAACATCATGGCCAGGATCCTGCCGTGGCTCACATGGTGGGAAGAGAATGGACTCCCCCAAGTCCTGTGCATACACATGTCCCCAGCTTCCTCCCCTACACTCATTGACCTGGCTTCCACAAGTATACATGCACATACCTGTACACATATGTGCACATGTGAACACTACACATGCTTATACCTCACACTGATATGAATGCGTGAACGTAAGTTGTGAGTGATTGGAAATTACAACCTAGTCTTGAAGGGCACGCTGTAATGACCATTTCCCGTCAGCTGAGTTCCACCTCCTAAGTTTCTCTACATCTTGCTATGCAGTTATGACCCTATCCATGGATTAATCCTTGAACGAGGTCAAGTCCTCATAATTGACTAACTTCTCAGAACCTTGCCATATTAGCAGCCAGGCCTTCTGAGGAGCAGTCCGTGTGAAACCATACCACTCCCTACTGCCGTCACCCAGCACACAGGTCACGATAGGGCCGCCGTCCTCAAGATGTTTGCTTTCATGAGCTGTACAAAGATGCCTGGTTTTTAAAAACATGGACTGTAATAAACTGCTTTTGCATGGATTTAGTTCTGTTCGTCAGAGGGAGGTTTTCTATACTCTGAAGTGGTTCCCTTCCTTTTCTGGAGGTTCCTTTTTAGGCTTTACTAGAATCTGGCTTCTGTGAGTCAGATGTCTTACATGTGTCTAGAGAAGTGAAGCCTCCTGTACGCCTGTCTAGTAGCTCCTCTCATTTAGTTTACCTCTGCGAAGTATCCGAGTTTTGAATGCTTATTACCCTAATATTTGGTTAATGCTAAGTTATAGTATGTTTTAGGCACTAAACTTATACACACTATGTGTGTGTGTGTGTGTGCGCGCGCGTGCGCATAGGTTTTACCTCATAGCAAGGTAAAATTTTATTCCCATTTTGCAGAGAAAAAGGAAGGTAAATTTCAGAGAAAAGCTAAATATGCAGTCAAAAGTCTGTATTTTAAGAAAGTAAAACAAATTTGAACTTGTATCTGGCGACAGACCCAATGAACATGTCACTCCCCTGCTGGTCTTCTGAGCAGAGTAAAAGCACTGTCAGGAGACATGCAGTGCCAGGAAATGAGTGTAGAATGCTAACCTGGGTGCCCATTTTGTTTAAAGAGTCAGAGAAATAAATTCCAATTTCAAGGTGAAATACAAGATTCAAAAGAAATTGATACTGCAGTGTTGCTTTAAGCTGTGCCTCCAGGACCACCATGTTGTCTTCTTTACTGTAGGTGCTTAGTAGAAAAGTTAGAGCAGCATTCACCAGAATCAGTGACCCTCATGACACCGAACACAGCCTTGCCTGTTTTATACCAAACTGGATAGGAAAAAGTTGGGGAGCCCCAAAATTCTACAGTGTCCAAATTGTCACATTTTGCAAGCATTCTGTATTACTACAACAACAGTCACAAAATGTCAGTGTCATAGGACATGGCCTCTTCTCTCACTTACAAGCTGTGCATTAACCACTCCAGATCAGTTGCCATGGCTTGTCTTCATAACTCGTCCTCATTGCCAGCTGCTTCCTGGATCCTCGAGGAAGGAGCAGAAGCACTTCCGGGGCATAGCCTTTCTGTAACAACAAGGAAGGGGCGGTGCTGCTTTGATGTCTGCGTTTGAGGGAACTTAGACCCAACTCTACACAGTCCTGCCACCTCCCAATAGTCTATAGCGTTTGAGTCCATCAGCACTGTTCTAATCATCTCTGGATTCATTCTCACAGACAGATGAACACGGTTATGATGTAGCAAACCCTCATCTTTGCTCCACAAAACCAATGGCAAGGTACACTTGGTAGCCTTGTGTAAATAAATAAGATGCTGTCTAACAGGCTGGTGTGGTGCTGGCTGCATGCCTGTAATCACTGCACCGGAAGACACAGGAGGAGGAGGAGGAGGTGTGGGTTACAAAGAGAGAGACCTTGTCTCCCATAAGAAAAGACCCTTTAATAACCTTTCCTAGATAGCTCTCTCAATCCAGACAATTTAAGAATCAAGATTAAATGTGTTTCTTCTGATACTAATTTTCTACCACAGGTTCCTTTTAATTAATATTTACAAAGTGTATCCTTAGATAGCCTTTTGATTCTCATATATCTTTGTCTTTTGAGATAGGCATCTTTAAGAGAACATATAATTAAGACATTGCCTGGGGACTGGAGAGATGGTTCAGTGGTTAAGAGCACTAACTGCTCTTCAAGAGGCTCTGGATTCAGTTTCTAGGACCCATATGGCAGCTCTGTCTGTGACTTCAGTTCCAGGGGATCTGATACCCTTACACAAGACATACATGCAGACAAAACACCAATGCACATAAAATAAAGATAAATCATCAAAAACTAAAACTTAAAAAAAACTTTTTTTTTTTTGAGGTTCAGATCAGGAATTCACAAACTATACCATGGATCAAATCTTTCTTGGAATCAGTTTGAGTTATATATGTCCATGCGTGCTTATATGCCAACAGGCCCTAAAATATTTACTATCTAGCGTTTTATAAAAAATTTTGTCGTCTTCTGATGTATCTTCTCTTCTCCTCCTCCTCTTCTTTTTTTTTTTTTTTTTTGTGGGAGGTTGGTTTTGGGGGGCAAGATTTTTTCTATGTAGCCTTGGCTGTACTAGGCCAGCCTCAAAATCAAGAGATTCTCCTGTCTCTGCCTCCCAGGTGCTGGGATTAAAAAGGCCCAGCTTGGGTTTATCTTTTTTTAAAAGGTATGTGCATATTGTAGATAATTTTTTATGTGCAGGTGCTTACACAGGTCGTCCTTGAGCATGCATACAAATAAATGTGTAGGCCAGAGGATGACAATGGGTGTTCACCTTACCTACCTTGTAGATAGCGTCTTATATTGAGTCAGAGCTCACTGATTGACTAGAGTAGCTGGCCAGTGAGCTTGGGGGTCTGTCTGCCTGTTTCCACCTTCCCTGCAGAGGGATTATAAATCCAGGTTCACCCTCTTCCCTGACTTTACATGAGTATTAAGGATCCAAATTCAAATCCTCAGTGTTGCACGGCACGTGTTTTCTTGACTGTCCAACCTTTTGGCTTTACAACATGACATGTACATCATAATGTACAGATGTGTTAGCTCATATTTATTTATAACTACCCTGGGGCACATGCGGCCTGTGGGTCATAGGTTGGATACATCTGTTTTAGAATATTTTTTAATTGGAAATTTTTAGTACATTCAACTTTTAACTGTGTCCTGTCACAACCATACTGTTGTGAAATATAACTTTCTTCAGCTCTGTCACTTCTATTCATATTATGAGATCAAAGGAATTTTTTATCCCTGTTGCTATTAGTGTCCACCGCACTGCTGAAATAATTCTTTGATATGCATGTCATGCACCTTTTCTGTGACATCAGCTAACTACTAGTTAGAGTTAACTTGTGTTGTCTGTGAAATATATCCAACATCCGTGTCACAGTTTGTTTGCTTACTCAAATCTGTCTAGTACTTGAAAGTCAGACAGAAGGCAAAGTGCTGTGAGTAATACTCCTGTACACTGTAAATATGTCATTTATATTAGTTTAATAAAACACTGATTGGCCAGTAGCCAGGCAGGAAGTATAGGCAGGGTGACCAGGCTAAGAGAATTCTGGGAAGAGGAAAGACAGTCAGTCACCAGCCAGACAGAGGAAGCAAGATGAGAACTACTCACTGAGAAAAGGTACCAAGCCACATGGCTAAACATAGACAAGAATTATGGATAATTTAAGTTGTAAGAGCTAGTTAATAATAAGCCTGAGCTAATAGGCCAAGCATCTGTGTGTTTATTTGGGACTGAAAGATCATGGGACCAGGTGGGACAGAAACTTCCATCTACAGCAAAGGACTTTAAATAACAGAGTGGGATGGGTCATTTTTTAAGCCTGGAAGTAGGCACTTTTTTTTTTTTTGTGGGAGGAGGGCACCGTTGGCATCTAGGGAGGAGTTGGGTTATTCCGTTAGCGTCATTGTCACTGCACCTCAGGCTTCAGGTGTGTGGAGAGCTATCTTGTCTTAAGGGTAAGGTATGGTTTCCAGAGCATCAGCTGTTTGGAATTTGGTGTCACCTTTTATACTGTGGCCTGTATAGGTGGTAAATATTTAGAGCGATTTTCCAGGAATCGTAGGGTGTCTGTTCTGATTAAGGCTTAGCCTCAGGTATGTTTCTCTCTT